TACTGCTGAGAGGAGCAGTGGGTGAGACAGGAGAGGTCTGCTGTGCCATGTGGGTTGCTCCCTGGCCAGGGATCGAACTCCTGCTGCAGTGGCTGCAGACAGCTTCATAGGTTGCGTCTTCATCCCTTGCGCTACCAGGGAGGCCCTGCCTCATTAGTTTTTTGAGTCACCAGCTCATCACCTTGAGTGTATCCATTGGTTGGTTTTGCAAAGTGAAAGCACCCTTAGATCCATCATATTCCTTTAGTCTCAGATGGAATGAGAGAGTCTACAGAACACTAGTTTAGACCTCACATCTGGGCTTACTTTGAATCCCATATTTACTACTTACCATCCTATAAATATGAGCAAGTTATCTGACATTTCTGTACCTGTTTCCTCATCTTCAAGATGAGCTGACTAGGAGAAAGGAGTATATACCCTTTATGGGGTTGTTGGAGAATTAGCTGTGTCTACATGTGGAGTAGCCAGTGTCCAGAATGGCTGTCAATGAAATTCCCTTTCAGGTCCTCACAGGGATGCAATTTGCTTTCCCACTATGAACAGGGCTGATTTGTGTAATCAATGGGATTTTGCAGAAAGGATGGCATTCAGCTTTCAAGTTAAGACATAAAAGACAGTATGGCTTCTGCCTTGCTTCATTGGGTCTATTGCTCTGAAGAAAGCCAGCCACCACGTCATGTGGCCCTATGGGGAGAGTGCCACATGTTGAGGAGCTGAGGCCTCTTGCGAAACGCCAACACCAACATGCCCAACAGCATTGCGCCATCTTGGAAGCTGATCCTCCAAATTCAATTAAACTTCAGATTTTTCTGCAGCCCTGACATCTGAACTGCATGCACATGAGAAACCTGGAGCCAGAACCACTGGGTTATGCTGTTCCTGAATTTCTGACCTACAGAAATTATAATAGTAAATGTTTATTGTCCTAAACAAATGGGTTCTGGAATAATTTGTTACACAGATATAGATAATACAATGTATCAACGTTTAGGATGATGCCTGACACATAGCCTTCTTGTTAGCTGTTGTTAACTCCACTTTACAGGTAGGAAGACTGAAGTTCAGGGGCCTCACTGATGGAGCAAGGGGGTTAAGCACCGCACTATGAAGCAATCCACAGCCTCTGCAGCACCAGCTCAATCCCCGGCTGGACTCACATGGTGCAGCAGACCTCTCCTGCCTTGCCTGCTGCTCCCCTCAGCAGGGCATTTCAGTGAGTCTGCCTGTTCTGTTCCTCACTCTGTTTCTGGTGGATCCTCTCTCCCCCCGTATCTCTGGCCTGTACCCCAGCTCTTGTATGCATAAATAAATCTTAAAAAAAAAAAAAAGACTGAGGTTCAGGATGGTGAGGTGGTGTTCTCCATGCACATAGCTGGAAGGGCAGGGCCAGCCATGTAATGAACGCAGGGCCTCTAAGTGCCAAGTCCTGGGCTCCTTTTTCTGCCCTACTCTTCCCATTATTTACTGTTGAACAGTAACACCTAAAGGCATAAACAGGGCCTCCCTGGTAGCACAAGGGATTAAGTCACGGCACTATGAGGATATTCGCAGCCACTGTGACACGAGTTCAATGCCAGGCAGGTTAGGGTGGTGACCCACATGGCAAGCAGACCTCTCCTGTCTCGCCCACTGCTCCCCTCAGCAGTGCATTTCAGTCAGTCTGCCTGTTCTGTTCTCCACTCTGTCTTTGGTGAATCCTCTCACCCCTTGCACCTCTGGCCTGTATCCCATTTTTGTGGGCATAAATAAATCTAAAAAAAAATAAAGGCATAAACAACCACTTTATTATGCTCCTGGACTTTGAGAATCAGAAATTGCATCTGGCCACTAAGGGAATGTTATTTCTCTGCTCCATTATGTCTGGGGTCTTGAGTGGAAAAACTGAAAGTCTGGGGGTGACATAATAGCCGGAGTTGTATTATCATTCACATGTCTAGGTTGATGCCGGCTTTTGGCCAACCCTCTCCCTGTGCATACTCCATGTAGCCTGGACGTCCTCATAATGCGGTAACTGGGTTCCAGAGTGAGTGTCCTGAGTATGCCAGTATCTTTAGGCCTGGGCCCAGAAAGTGGTCTGCTATTACTTGTGCCATATTTAATTGGTCAACCAGTCGTGAAGTCCAGGTTCAAGGGAAGATACCTGGACCTTGCTTCTAGATGCGAGGCACATCAAAGAAGGTTGGGGCCATTGTTTAGAACTGTCACACTCACACAACAGCAGCCGCTGTTTGGCGAAGGACTCAGAAACACCATTCTGGTCATTGTGTGGTAGGTTAACTGTATCTGCACAGGAAAAAATGAAACCTACCAGCCTCCTGCGCCAGATGCTCATGGGGCACTTATGTGGGGAGCTTACATCACAAGGGTTCAGAGACAGGCCTGGAGTTGTCAGGGACACTTCCTAGTGTCTACCATGTGCCAGGAACTGGGGAAACAAAGGTGTACAACCTTAAGTAGTGGCTTTACATGGCAGTGCATGATGTAGAGGGGAGATGTGTGAAAGCACCCCACCCCTTCTCGAGAGATGCTTAGAGAAGGGGCAGTTTATTCTATCTCAAAGGCTCGGAGGAAGCTTCTCAGAAGCGGTGAAGGGCATTCCAGGTGTAGGGACAAGCCTGGGCAAGGGCAAGGAAATATGAGGAAACAGTGTTTGGGCAACTACAGGTGATTCAGTATGGTTGTGGGGGGGGGGGCGCAGAACTGAGACATAAAGCTCGAGACACGTGAGGGCCAGATTCCAAGAAATTTTATAAAGTTAGATCAGTTACTGAGAAGTGTGCATGTGGTGCAAGAGGAAGAGGGTGTCTATGAGGTTGGCACTGCCATGAAGCTTGAGAGAGATCACAAAAGGCGGGGGGGAAGGGGCGAGAGCAAGATGGATTTGGACCTGTGGCTTCTGAGATGTCTGTGGGGCATTCAAGAGGAGAATCCAGTTCAATTTGTGTTTGGACAGCTCTGGGCTAAAGACCAGATAAGATGGGGGAGCCACTGATGGAGCTTTGACTGTTGGCATAAAGGTCCAGGTCTATATTCTGTAGGTAGGGAAGAGCTAGGGAAGATTTTTAAGTAAGAGATTATAATGGCTAATACTTAATGAAGGCCCATTACATGTTGGACACTGTCCCAAACATTTTATATGAACTTATTTGGACCTCACAGTAATCCTGTAAAATAAGTGCTGCTGCATTTCATTGAATTTAAGATACCATCAATTATAATATATACCATTATGCCATGACATGTCTTCAGTTTAAGATGGATTCTCCAGAGATGTTAAAATGTAAATGGGGGGTGGGGAAATGGCCATAGAATCAATGAAATATATGATCTACATTTAAAAGATGAGGAAACAGGCACAGAGAAGTTAAATCACAGGAGGATTTGAAATCAGCCCAACCCTAAAGCCCAAGGTCTTAACTGTCTTTTGATACTGGACAGGAGGGTGTGAGTGAGGTGGAATTCTGAGACCCATAGGGCCACTTAGGGTGAAATGACTTTGAGGATTAGTCAGATGGTACATCTGGGAGATTAGGGTCCACTGTGAGAGGGTTCTGGAGTGGGTTGGGGGGCCAGGGCCTGGAGGAAGGGACAGATAGGATAGAGGTCCTTTGAGAACGGAGACAGCTACTTGACCTACTGTGTGTTGGGTGTGAGAACAAGGACAATTCCAATATGTTGAGCCTGCAATGAGGGAACACCATAAAAGGGCAGCTGGCAGCCTCTGCAGACCAGAGGAGAGCTATGGGGCCTGGGCAGATAGAAGGTGTGGTTTCTCCTCCTAGTTTGGGCAGTAACAGTGCCTGGCACCTGGTGGGTACTCACTAAGTATTTGTCAGAAGAATGGATGAATGAGTTGTATGATCTTAGGTGAGTTGTATGAGTGTCCCAAGTAATCTCTGGGTCTCACATTTTTGGTAGAAAATAGAGGAATTAGGGGCTCCCCAGGGGTGCAAGGGGCTAAGTCTCAGCACTATGAAGCTATCAACAGCCACTGCAGCATGAGTTCCATCCCTGGCCAGGAAGCTGACCCACATGGTGCAGCAGACCTCTCCTGTCTTGCCCCTGCTCCCCTGTACAGTATGTTTCTGTTAGTCTGCCTGTTCTGCTCCCCACTCTGTCTCTGGTGAATCCTCTCACCCCCCGCACCTCTGGCCTACACCCCAGCTCTTGTATGCATAAATAAATAAAATAAATCTTAAAAAAACTAAAATGGAGGGGCCTCCCTCGTGGTGCAGGCGGTTGAGCACTGCGCTGTGAAGCTGTCGGCAGCCTCTGTCGCGTGGGTTTGAGCCCAACTGGCCGGCAAGAATCCCACATGGCGTGGCAGACCTCTCCTGTCTCGCTCACTGCTCCCTCAGCAGTGTGTTTCATCAGTCTGCCTGTTCTGTACCCCGCTCTGTCTCTGGTGAATCCTCTCACCCTCCCACTCATCTGGCCTGTACCCCAGCACTTGTATAAATAAAAAATAAATCTTAAAAAAAAAAAAATAAAATGGAGGAATTGGACTAGAACGTGAAAACAAAAATGGCAGGTACTCTGCTAAAAGTGTGTTTTTCTACCCACCCCAGGACCTTTATACCCCCAAAGCAGTGGCCCTAACTCTGGCTGTAAGTTTGACTAACCAAGACCCCATACGACACCACTAAATTTGGGATCTCTGGAGATGGGGCCCCAGCATGACTAATTTTTTAAAAAAGATTTATTTATTTATACATACAAGAACTGGGGTACAGGCCAGAGGTATGGGGGTGAGAGGATTCACCAGAGACAAAGCGGGGAACAAAACAGGCAGCTGTACTGAACTGCACTGCTGAGGGGAGCAGCAGGCGAGACAGGAGAGGTCTGCTGCACCATGTGGGCAGCTCCCTGGCGGGGGATCAAACTCATGCTGCAGTGGCTGCGGATAGCTTCATAGTGCTGCAACTTAACCCCTTGTGCCACTAGGGAGGCCCAAGCATGAAAAATTTTTAAAGCTGCCCAGGTGACCGCAATGTGTAAAATGTGCACAATGTAAGAATCCTTGCCCTAAAGTCTCCAGGTACCTGTTTGAAAACCACTGGTCTAGGTGAGGGCCAGGATCCTTTCTAGGCGGAGGCCCTTGGCCTGAGACTTGTGTTTGGAGATAAACCTCTCTTTCTGTGTCCCATCTCTCTTCATGTCCCAAATCAAAAACCTCCGAAAGGGAACTAAACACAAGGGTTTCTCAACTACATACTACCCAGATTTTCAGACAAGGAGATTCTTCATGATGGAGGATTTTCCTGTGCATTTCAGGGCATTGGGCAGCATTCCTGGTGTCAACCCACCAGATGCCAGTAGCATATACTCCCCCCATCAAAGCAATAAAAAAATGTCTCCAGATATTGCCAAATGTCTCCTGGGATGCAAAATCACCCCTAGTGAAAACTACTGTGCCACACTTAATCTCCCATCCTCCCTCTTACCTCCCCAGTTGCACAAAGAGGCCAGGCAGGAGTGAAGGCCATTTGATAGCAGGTTTAGTTGGGCCTGAAGGAGGGAAGCTTCTGGGAGGCCAAGGCTTCACAATGTTAAATGGAGGGAGAGCATGCCAGCGGATTCACTGATGTGGTCTCATTCTGGAGGGAAGGAGTTATCCAGAACACTCATTCCCGGATTCCCAATCAGTCATAGCTTCTGGGGCAGACAGCCCCCGCTTTCCCGGAACAAACATAAGGGGGTGGGAGTGGTGTGTGTAGGGGATTTTTTCCTCTGTAGATATTTTCCTGGCATTGGTGACTGCCGGTCTGATTGGTTGAGGGCTGGGGAGGAACTTTCCAGTTGTGGGGTGCCTGGGTCCCTGAAGGCCATCAACACTGGGATTGTGGGGACATCTGGGTTTCATGGTCTGGAGGACTGAAACTTTGAGGCTGGAACTAAGGGGCTGACTGCTCCTACCTCCACCCCCCAAAGAGAAGCAGAAGTCGTGGGTACAAGCTCCTGAGAGCTGGAGGCTGGGGGCTGTCAGCATCTTTACAAGTCAGCTTATGCTCTGAGGATCCTGGACCTGAGGGAAGACAGAGGATGGGAAACCTGGGAAAGCATAGGAAGGAGGCTGGGGCGATGGGGGGCAGGGGGTGGTGGTGGGGTGGGGCAGAGGATGGGGGGAGGAGGAGTGAGAGAAGGGATGGGTGGAGGAAGGCACTGAAGAGGTCAGAGGTGATGAGGCTACTGCTATCCTTATCCCCCAACTCACTCCAACATGAGGGTCAAAAAACCCAGGAGCACAGCCACTGTGAAGATGGAGAGGAGCAGACTCCTGGCTTCCCAGAGATCGTGACTTCCTGCAGGGAACCCAGGAGGTGGTGGTGAATGATTCTGGGCAAATGATCCTATACCTGTGGGCATTTGGGGAGACTGAGGGCTCAGAGATCTGGGGTAGGGGGGTTGTCAAGACCTGGGAAGCAGCGCCTTCTGGGCCAACAGTACACCTCAAAGCTCTGGCAGGTGGAACAGTTGTACAGGGTGGTGCTGCCCCCTACAGGAAACAGCGGGAACAGGGCTGGGGAGGGGAGGCCCTGGCTCCACCTTGCCAGGTACCCACTTCCTCTGTGCTAACTGCCAGGTACCTGGAAGGTTCCCTGTTTTGCTACCCCTTTCCTTTTCTACCTGTTTTGCTACCCCTTTCCTTTTCTACTCACGGCAGGCAGGAGCACAGAGAGCTGAAATGAAAGAGAAAGAGGGGTGGGGGCAATTTAACTGAGGCACTCAGCCACAAACCCCTTGCCTAAGATCGTTGGCACTCCTTAATCCCTCCCCATGTGAATGAATACCTTCCCTGGTGTACTCGGGGAGCTTGATGTTTTGAAGCCATTGCCAATATGCAGGGAATGAGGACAGAGACCTCTTGATCTCTGGGGAGGAAAAGAGCAACCATATTGGCCAGGGCCTCAACAGTGCAGGTTCACCTCCATACCATTCACACCAGCACCTCCTCTAATCTATACCCTCCCCTGCCTCCCCAGTCTCTTCTTCTCATCCCCCTCACTGGTGCCCATCCAAGCCCCTAGATTGTGCCTTCCCCCTTAACCTCACCCATGACCTTCAGGACTCTGTGAGTCTTCTCTATGACTTTGATCATGGACAGCTCATCTGTGGAGATGGGCAGGACCAGTGAGTGATTCCCTCATCACCCAGAAGGAGGTTCTTGGGTCTTTCCTGACTTTCTCTTGTTTTGAAGATCTATCTCCCAGAGTGGGAGGCCAGTGTGTCCAGAGAGCTGAAACTGAAGGACACATCTGGGAGCCATATGCTGCCCCAATTTGGGTTGACAGTTGCTGGGCCTATCTCCGGACATCTGGTCTTACCTAAGGCAAAGGCTGAGAAATTCCAGGAAGCCTCGCAATCCTTCCACTGGGCCTTAACCAGGCTGCAGAGCCGAGCCAGGCGGCCAGATAAGTTTCGGTCTGAGCTATGGCAAAAGATACAGGCCTGGGCAACTTCCAGGAAAACCCCACCTAGTGCCAGTATCCACATGAGGCCCATTGGGGCAGTGGTAGAGGGGGACTGGCGCCCCATCTGGAATGCTCTGTGATCATGGTTCCAGCCCTTTGCTTAGAGGGAGGTTCTACAGCATTCTAGAACAATGCCACTGCTCTGTCCCTGGCTGGGGTAAAGCTGAGGCCCAAGGAACTGGGAACCAGAAGAAAACATTGTTAGTATGCAATAGACAGAAAAAAAAAACAGGGCTTCTACAGCAAGGGGAATAACACCCCTAACCTTAGCCTCACCAGCATTTACAAGTTTATGGTTCCAAAAGCAATTTTATTTTTCTTCTTATAAATCATGACCAGTGATAAATAATCAGTGACTCTCCCAGTGAAGTGTCCCGTATGAGTATCCCATCCTGTCAAGGACCCAGAAATCCTATCACATATCCTCCCCCACTCTTCCAAACTATCTTCTCTCTGCCCAGAGCAGCCTTGGGCTTTCCCCAGCTATCTCCTAGCAACAGGCTCATGTTGCCTTAGTAACCAAGAGTTCCTTACAGGCCTCTGGGGCTGGCTAAGACCAGGGACTTTTCTAACCTTTCACTAGGAAGATCCCAGTGACTCAACCCCAACAGGCCCCTCCTGCTTGCATGATGATGGGAGCGCACATGCATGCACACGCATGCACACACAGACACACCCCTTGTGATTAAGCTAGTAATTTGCAATCTATTCAGGACACACCTGGTGCCAAAACAGTTGCTGGGCAACCCCAAACAGGCTTGGACATGCAGAGACCACACACACAAAAAAACAAACAATACAGACACCATCTCCAGTAACACAGATGGGAGGCAAGGTGTCAGGGACCCACACATCAGTCATACAAAATGGGTGATATGCACATGCATGAGCACATGAGCATGTGCACACACACACACACACATGCACGACCCAAGAAGGAGCCGCCTTCCTCCTCATGGCCAGCCCTACCATCAATATGGGATCTTTTAACAGTTGGATTTCAGAGGGATGCGCCAGTCCCATAGTTAATGGGGCGTCTCCTAGCTTCATTTTACCAACCTGGGTTGGGGGGGTGTAGCCTGTCTCCTTCAGTAGGTGGCTTAAAACATAGCAAAGAATACCTTTTCCCTTGTTCCAGAGTATTCCCGCCTCTTATTGTTCAGGCCAGGTCAAGCCACCCAGTTCCGTAAAGAGAAGCTCTGATACAAGACCACATTAAAACAATCCAAAATCCCCCGTTCTCAGATCTCGGGGTCCCTCCAGAGATCTATTAGGCCTAGGCTGGGCATAAGAGGTATCCCCACTTTTCCAGATCCTTGAATACTGAGCATCAACCAAGGAAAGGAGGTCCCCAGCTTCAGGCAAGAACAAGTCAGGGAAACCTTCCCCACCCCTTCCAGAATAAGCAACAGTCCAGAACCTTTGGACTACTTGGGAGTCCTGGGTGGGCTCAGGTCTGGGAATTCTGCCACGACTGGGCTCCAGTCAGGTGAAGTAGAGCCCCTGACTCTCACAGCTCACAGGGCAGAAGGAACTAGAAAGAGGCTTCAGGGGGGCGCCTTCATCTCCTTTGCTACCCAATTTTCTATCCCCAGCAATCAAACCGAAGGCGGTGTTCTCATTTCTTAGTGCCGGACAAAGCGCAGTGATCGGGAGTTCAGCAGGTCTTCGGGGTCAGGGAAGACGGAATCTAGACGGAAGCCGTGCTCCAGAGCCACCCGCAACACCTCTTCCAGGAAGCCTGGCGTGCCCTTGACCTCCCGTCGCTCTCCTGGACCCCCAGTCCACAGAGACTGCAGCCCCAGCCTCCTGTACTCTACTTCCGGGAGTTCTGTGGGGCGCGGGGCCCACTCCAGTCGAAAGTGCGGACCCCCCTCTGCTCTGTCCTCATTGGTCACACCAAATCGGGTCCGCATGGCACCCAAACACTCTGGGTCAGTGCAGAAGAGGTTGGCTCGGAAGATGTCCAACTGCACTGAGCTCAGCTCATAGTGGTGTGGACCACGGCGGGCAGAGAAGTGCACCTGCCGGGGGCTGGCATCTACATCTGCGTGAAGTAGGGCAGCTGTGGGTGCAGAGGTTCCTCGAGAGGCTTCCAGTTCCCGAAGGGCATCCAGGAGGGGCCGGATCTGGTAGAAGTCAGCCTCTGCCCTGAGAAGTGCTGTCTCCCCATACCCGCGGGGCAGATCAAGACGCCCCAACCGCAGGAAATTGAGAATGTGTCGGAAGGCCTTGCCATCTCTGTCGATGAAGTAGGGGCCACTTCCCTGGGGGTTGAGGTTGGGGGCCATGGGGGTGCCCGCCCTAAACATGGCTCCCAGCATGGAGTCTGGGAAGCGAGTCAGGGTCTCCAAAGTGGTTGAATATAGCGTGCCCCCCACATTCAGGGTCACGGGGCCCCCAAAGGAGGGGGGCGAAGAGGATACAGGAGGAGGGGAAATTTTGGGGAGTACAGGAGACAACTAAAAGAAAAGAATAGGCAGAACTTCCTGGGAGTGTTCAGAACTTGGTGGTAAGATTCAGACTCTGTGAGTTGCAGGCACAGTTTGGAGAACAAGGCGGCAAGATTTGGGGCTCACCCCAACTACCTTGGTGGTAGGGGATAGTTTCCCGGCACAGAAATCTCCGAACGTTGAGAGAACAGATGAAAGGAGCAAAGAGAAGCCAGAGAAGGCGACTTCGGTCCAGACGTGTTCAGTGCTGGATGACCAGGGGTTCCTTTCCGTGGTCTTCGGACAGTGGGTTTCCGGAATCCAACCAGCAGGTGCCGGTGGCGAGCAGAAGGCAGGCCCGGCTTCCGAGGTCTCGGCAGATCGCTACTGCCTTGGGCGAGGCCACGCAGAGCTCCGGGGGCCACTCGGAGGCCCGGCCCGGCCCGGCTCGGGTCCCAGGAGATGGAGGCGGGGCTGGCGGGAACTGATGGCGGCGACACCTTCAATCGGCTTGGGGAGCGACGATGCACACTCAGCCCGAACTGGGAAGGTCCGGGAACTCTGGTGGAAACAGCCGAGAGTCTCGGGACCCAAGAGCCACCGCCTTCCTCGGGTGTCGTCGCAGCCTCAGAAGTCCTCTCCGCCCCCAGGAAGTGGCCTAAGGGCAGCGGCCCGGGGCCCTTTAAGAGGCAGCCCCGCCCCCTTGGCGCCCCGCCCCCCGCCCCCGCGGGGCTCCTGCGGCCGAGTGGGGATGGGTGCTTCGAGTCCCGAACCCGAGAGACGGGGCGGACAGGCTGGACCAGCGGACGCTAGCGGGGGTGGGGTCCGGAAGGTGACTCAGGCGCGTCGCCCCGGATGTGGCAGCCAGCCCCCAGGTGTGTCCGACCTCACGTCTGCAACTCGGCGGGGGGCCTGAGTCTCCCAGGCTCCCCACTTCTGCGAGAGCCGAGGCCCGACGAGCCTGGCGAGGGGACCAGTTCCCTCCCAGTCTCTCCCGCAGGGAATTCCCGTGGGGGCGGGTGCTGAGCTGCCGCATTCCAAGGATGCCTCTGAGCCGGGGTGGCCGCCATCCTGGCCGGAACCAGCGCACCCTAAGGGGAGGCTGGCCCCCAACCCACGCGAGCAGCCTCACCCAGGCCCGACCGGTCTGGCCACGTCGCCTGAGCCCGAGTCCCGCCCCGGGGCCACCCGGTGCTAGGGCTGAGGCAGAAGCTCCCCTTAGCCCTCCTGCGTCGCCCCTGGGTTGACTCTACTAGCAAACTTTCAAAGTGCTCTCACACCCTGGAAACCCGAGTGCCCAAAGCCTTGCCTGGTGCTCAAGTGGTGCCTAATACATGAATTTTGAAGGAAAGACAGAAATACAGAGAATTTAATGGCAAAGGGGCAGGCTGTAGGGAGTGGAGGGGCTGGGGATGCAGCTGCTACAGTCAGGAATCAAAGCGTGTGGAGGTCCTGACTACGCCGGCTCAGCTTCTCCGGGTCATCAGACGCCATGAGGGAGAAGTCCCGGAAGATGTCCAGATAGGTCTCATCTCCTGAGGGAGAGGGAGAAAGGGCTGTGGAGGCGGGATGCCTGGGCCCTAGCACAGAAGAGCAGAGTCGGGACAGGCGAGGCCTAAAGCCCCTCCCCTATTCTTTGCTCTGTTCATAAGGCTTGACCTGTACCATGTGCCCAATACATATTTGCTGAATAAATATGGAGTTATCTATGAAGCTGGACATGAGGGAAACAGGTCATCAGGGTCAAGAAACGGAGAGTTAGGCAGGACACTAGACCTGGAGAGGGTACTTTACCTGCCTGGCCCTGGGCCACTTCAGCCTCTCTCATCTTGGCCAATCTTAGCCTAACGGGGATGGAATTAAGAAATCAATGACATTCTCCTTAATGACCCCCCACCCTATACCACCCTTCTTCCCATCCTTGGAGCTTCATTGTTTTATTCATCTGTTTCCTCCAGGTGTAATGCTTAAAAGATGCTTGACAACAATACTGATGCATGAATGATGCCTCAGAATGAACTCACCATCCTCTGGCTAGGCACACCCCCCACCACTCCGCCCATATCCCAAGCAAGATTTGGAGCATCCTTTCACTTGATCTGGTTGCAGAGGCCTCCCTCTCCAGACCCGGTCTAAGAAGCTTAGGTCTTCCCTTTAACTGGGCCCCCTCAGGCATCCTCACAGGGTGACAATGTCTGCGTTGGTTGTTTCCATGGCGATGGTGAGAGGGTCCCTGCCTTCAGAGTCCTGAGCTCCCAGGTCAGCCCCCCGTTTCAGGAACAAGCAGGCCAGCCTGAAGGAGATAGCCAGGTTCAGCCTGCTGCTCACCAGTCAGGGCCTCCCTCCCAAGGCCATTAGCCCTGATGCCCCTACCCAGTGTGTCCAAGAATGGTTGCATGGTGAAGTGGGCCACGGCCCTGGTTGTCTGCTTGGTTCACACTTGCCCCGTTCTGAAGGAGAAACTCACAGGCCAGAAGGGAATTCTGCATTAAGAAGTGGAGAATGGAGTGAGAGTGTGGCATCTTTACGATTTATTTATACATACAAGAGCAGGGGTGTGGCCAGAGGTGTGGGGGTAGGGGGAGGGAACATTCACCAGAGATAGAGTAGGGAGCAGAACAGGCAAATTGACTGAAATACACTGCTGAGGGGAGAGTGGCATCTTTAGAGGAGTTTTAAATATGTTTCAGAGTGGGGGTCAGTTCAGAGGGTGAGGTCTGAGAATTGGGAGTGTAGGGGTTCTGCTCTAGCTCTTTACACATATTCATATGCTAACTCCACAACACATCCTTATGAGGTATGTTACCCCTATTTTGTAGGTAAGGAAACTAAGGGACAGATAAGTTCTTAAATGTAAGTGGTGAGAGCCTGGATCCAAACTCATGTGATCTACCTTCAAATCACACACCCCCAGCAACAAGTCTCGATCCCTTAATCAATTCCCGTAAGGTTGGGGTGAGGGGCATCCCAGGGAGCAGGGAGGATGAAGCAGGACTAAAAGCTGAGCCCAAGGTCAAAGAATGGGTAAAAGAGAAGGAGCCTTAGGATGGGGTGGGGAGATCAGCAGGATACTCACAGCTGCAGTGGCCTGGATCAGCGGTGTGGAGTTCTCCCGGCCCCCGTTGACCCAGTTGACATCAGCTCCATGGGCAAGGGCATCGGCCATGGTGGGAAGGGATGGAGGGTGCCCAGCCGCTCGAAACAGCAGGGCCCCAGGGTGCAGGCTGCCCAGGTCATCAGAGGAAGACTCTGGTAAGAGGATCAATTATGAGTCTGGGAAGGAACCCCTTAGCACAGTTTCCTGATACTGTAAGGGGAATGGGCACTTCTCAATTGTGGGAAGGACTTTCAGACTCAGGGAAATGTGGTGGGAGGTGGAACTGTGTGTGTGTGTGTGTGTGTGTGTGTGCTGTGCCTCTAAGGTATGGACATGGCCCATACCATGTGTCACCTCTTCCTGTAAAACCACTCTGACTGTCTGGATGTCACAGGTGAGCTGACCCCTGATCAGCCTTAGTTGCCTGGGAAGCTCCTTCTGCTCCACCCAAACACATACCTTTTCTCAGGTCTTAAGCTACAGACCATAGCTTAATCTCATTCTTGACTTTTCTCATGTTATTGAACCCTTACCTAACCCTCCCCCTCTACTCCAGCTACACACTCCTCCCCATTCTTCACATAATCCCCCAGGAATCTTGCCTTATAAAACCAGGGCTGGTATGTCCTGGTTCCTGCAACATTCTCAAGGGGAACAATGCCCAGGTCTCACACTCTGTGCCTACACATGACCAACCACAGTGGTGAGAGCACAGCAGGTGCTCACTGAATGGGACAATCTGTACCTGGCTTGGATCTCAAGCTCCCTGGCCTTGGCCTTGGCTTTGGGGCCACAGGAGGGTGTCCTCTAGGGGTCCCCCGACCCTCTCTTCGCCCTCGAATCTCAGGAAGCTTGGTCAGGAACTTCTTCTCTACATATTTGGCGTGAATCCAGGCCTCCTTCTCCTGTCTTGAGTGGAGGGTAAGGGAAAAGGGGATAGTTTTCTCTCTTCCCATTCAGATCCTCTTCCCTCTGCCCAAGGAGAATAGTCCCAGTGACTTCAACCCAAACTCACCGGGAGCAGCTGGGTCCTGGCTTCTTCACTGCCATGGCCTCCACACGGGCCTCGTAGATCTGGTTGATGACAACATTTCCCAGCTCACACATAAGCTTCGATGGCAAGGCAGAGGCAGAAATAAACAGGTGGGGAGGAGGTGAGTGTTTGAGCCCTTCGATTCTAAAGGCCTGTCTTCGCCTCACCCTCCCACCCCATGATCTTCATGAGACCCCAAATCACCTTCACTAGTTCTGGCTCCCATGAGTCGAGGGTCAGAGACCGTACTTTGGAGAAATGAACTCCAAGGCTCCTGAAGGGCCAGAGTGGGAGTGTCAGGTTCTCTGTGGGCAGCAGCCAGGGGCGCTACTGCTGCTCCTGTCAAGGCTTGGTGGCAAGGGGCTGCATAGGCAGCAGTAGGCAGCACTGGGCCACCAGGCAGGAGGGTGGCTGGAACCAGGTAGCCTTGACCTGGTTTAGGCAGGATTCTGCCTGTTCGCTTACCCTCTTCTCCCTTCTTTCCCTACGTTTCCTTTGAAAACCATTCTCCTCTCCAGTCACCTCCCTTCTCTCATAGTATTTTGGCTTAGACAATACTTTCCATGCCATTCCCCTTCCCTCCTTCCACTAGTGTGACTTGGGGGCAGACAGACTACAGATTTGTTAAGGCCTCATGACCTCCTCGTGCCATTAGTTTCCCCACCCACCCTCAGAAGCTCTGATCCCACACAACCTCCAGTCAAGCCACATCTGGGTGTCCCTCAACCCTGGCCACACCAGGACACTTAGTAGCTGGGCCTACCCGAATACATCTGTGCACCACAGGCTTGGCACAGACCATGCCTGGTGACAGTTAAGATCTAAGAGAGGAAGCTATGGGTTCTATCTGAGGTGCCACTCCCCCCACACTGTAGCCAAAAGGAATGGGGCTGGCTTGCG